AACTGCAGCAATATAATCGTCTTGATTCAAAAGAATGGCTAATTTAATTTTGAAAGTTGCTAATCCAAATAGCACTAGACTTAACACGTGGTTTGATTTCCGCCCGAAGTTAGTTGACTTGTAAACGTGAAGGGTTTACATAACTTCAGCCTACGTAAAATAAGATCGTAGTATGATTCCGTAATTGTATTGCACCCCTCGTAATTGGTTGTTGTTTGAACCTGCTGACACCTACGCTTCACAGTAAGCAATTGCTTTACGTAGTGTTTATTTACTGCCCCTAGTCAAAATCTTTTATAAAACGATGCAGTTTACGTAGAACTGGCTATTATACTAATATTATTATTATATCTGTTTAAATTTTGCCAAAATTACGTTTTAAAGCTGGAAATTCGATGTGCCGTGTTTGCGTCATAAACGTGCTTAGAACGTCTGTTACTTGGTTGAGTTTCAAGTCGTAATCTTAGGTACTGCTAATTTCCTCATCTGAGCCATTGCACTGTACGATATGGAAGAATCGGATCAGCAGTCTCGTCAGGCTCGTTTATGCGAAGAGTACTGCGCACGGTACAACATCACGGATCTGATTAAAGACGCGATCGTTCAGCTTTGTATTAACCAGCCGGAAAATCCCGTCTCTTATCTGAAGGACTACTTCGAAGCTTTGTCGATTCAGCAGGTAACGCGTTTTAGATACGATAGTGGATTCTCGTCTAGTTTCTCGTTTGTAAGATCGTTGATTTTGCGGCGTGGCTGGTTCGCGTTCGGGGCTTGTACGCAAGTCAGTTCATCATTATCACGGTGGAGTGGCTTTGGCTGTTTTTTAGTACTTGCTTGAAACAGCCTGCTATCGAAAGGCGCACAGAAATTGCGGTAGGCAAATAATTTCATTGGAGGTTGATTTAGATTCAGGTATCAATGAGCTATAAGCCTGATTAGTGCCTATCTCTCCATATCGATATTCTTCAAACGTCTTGCACGCCATGCATGTGTTACATGCACTGTGTCGAATATTTTCTGTTACGTTGAAATTATGATTGCGAAACATAATCTAGGTTGAAATTGTTCTTGTAGAGCTGTTTGAATTATGTTCCCTGCATATGGATGCGGTACAATCTAAAACGTCTGCGTTTATGTTAGTAATGACGATAATATAATGTTATTGTATGCGAAATTATTTTTCAATTCAGTCCATTTCGGCATGGATTGAAACGAAATTTCTCTAGTGTTAATTTCGGTAGTGTGGCTTTTAATGCATTATCGCCTATGCCTCAGCCTATATCGAATCCAAGGTATAAGTTTGTGTAGGAGACAATTCAGGGCTAGGTATGAGTATAGACTTAGTAATAACCCTGGAGGTATTATCGGTTTGGACTGAACTGTAAAGCACTTAGTTCACAGCTGGACATACTGATTGCCACGTTGGGCGGTATCATATGTAACTTATCTGTGCAGAGAAAATCTTTCAAAGATTTTCTTGATGCATTACGCACGCGTTTAAAGAATTATGGTACTCTGCATTAAGATACTTGACACCGTTGGTTGACTCACAAGCAAGGTATAAAGATTTTATTTTAAACAGAATAAAACGTATAACGTTTTTGACCAAGACCAAAGTGCTGCTGATATTGCCAGCATTTATCAACTGCAGCCAGAAGATACATCGGTACGGTCA